AAAAAAATGTAATAGGCGTAAATGTAATATATATACTTTGGAACGTTTAATATTCCCACTCTCCCAAAAATAAAGACAGTATCCGCTTTTCAACAGTAGACCAGGACGTTTCAACTATTTTACAAAATATTTGCTTAAATCAAATGAAACCTTTCCACCTTAATTCAGATTCCTCTGAGCAGTGATCCGAGTAGCTCGTGTACACTGCATGGGTCCGAATCCAGTGGAGTGAATCCGAAACGCTGTTTATGTCGACACAGCTCTGGTGGTTCGGTAGCGATGTCATCACAGCGCTAGTTGAACGGGACATCTCGGGTCCGGACTGTCTGATCTCCATTTAGGACAGCCGGAATGATCTACGGTGAGTGATGTAACCATGGGGAACTGAAGGTATTATCAACAACCAGAAATACTGTATAAGAACTACAAGTGGATCTCGCGTGTTTCGGTGTACGACTTCTGCCGCGCTTCTTCACAGAACTGGTGTCTGGGATGAGACTTGATTCAACTACAGAACATGTTCGCTCTCTCGCTCTGTGGTTCAAAGTCTTCCGATCAACAAAATAGAAAGCAACAGGAAACGGAAATCGTGCGTTGCAGGGAGTTCTGCTGCAGGTACTTCAAAGGCAATCAATTAAAATTGCGCTAAAAAAATGAATGTGTTCAACATGACCCTCTTAACCGTTTAACTAAAAGTGTTCGTTGTGAAATATAACAATATTCGGGAGAGGGGACAGAGCGGAGAGCCTTCCCCTCAGACTTCGATCTCCAGACTTGCTGGCCTTGTCCCTCAGACAGCTTTCCTGACCTCCTGTCGGAAATCGTAGCCTTCGCATAGAGCCGAGCGAGAGAGGATCTCAGGAGGAGTTCACCCACTTAGATAGAGATCTTTTTCAATAGGTTATGAATTTCCAGTCTCTAAAAATAATAAGTATTCTAATTGGCTGAATATTAAAAAAAATCACCCGCTACATCATCTTACATCTGCACAATTTACTGCATGCACAATCCTCAGCGAACAGAATGGCCGTCGACAGAGATGTAGTTACCAACTATGTGCAGACCCTTCGAAAATGAAAATCCAGAAATGAATTACTCGATGAATCGGTCAGTCTGTGACCGCCCGGTAGGGAAAGTTGTATTGAGCTCGTTAGACCATGTGAGAGCTGAGGACTGCAGCAGAGGTTTCCGATATGTTCTCCGAAGCCAGTATGATTTGTTTCTTAGTGTGTTTTATTTCAAAAGTGTTTTTTTTTTCAATCAAGCGCTGTTCTGTTGTTACCTCTTCCACGTGTTCAATGGCTTCGGTTAGCCGCTCGCGGGATCACGGGACGTGTCCGGTTTCTGATCTTTCCTGTTTCTGGGTTCCTCACAGGCTCTGGGTGACCGTCGGTGTCTACACTAAAAACTGAGCTTGCTGAATAATTAAGAAATAATTAAGACAAATACGACAATTTCTTAAATGAGAGCTGGTAATAAGCAAATTCCAGTTGCATATTCGTAACTTTTTAACGCTGAGGTTATTATTCCACAGTGTGGCCAGTTAATCTGGGCGATGACTGTCCGCAGAAGACAGGTCGATCACACCTGTCTTCCAGAACTCAGAACCAGCCCTCGAACACCTTTCGCCCTCCAGCTACGCGTGGAAGCTGTCTGTCTCCATTCGTTGCGTTAAAACATGTCTTATGGAAATAAATCAACACAAATATAAAATTGTTGGGTTTCGAACCAGAAACGACATGTATTTTGTAGCGATCAGCCGCTCGGCGACCCGTCCTGAGCTCTGCAGTGCCGGCGTGCTCCCAACGAGCTTTATTAACGCTGCGCTGGGGTTCGATCCAATTCGTAGATGAGATATTATTGTAAAATAATTCCCTAGCACGTTGTGAAGATCGCGAGGAAATGTTCACTCTCGCATTCGGTGCCTAAGGTGATGCTTTTCACGGTGTCTGAGGGCGAGCGAGCCTCGTGGACACGGTATTCCCGGCGTCCAGCAGACGCGCGGAAAAAAAAATGTCAGCTACACCGAAATTTTTTTTTTGTTTGTTTTTCATCATACTGCTTGTGTTTGTTACGGTTTTCTGAAACGCGCTGGGCTTCCTCCTAAAGGCAAAACGAAAGTGCCTCGGTGGGCTCTGGACCTGACCACTTCACTTGCGGGTAACGCGATTTTGAACGGTGCTGAACTGGGTCACCTTGCCCCACCGTTTGGCTGTATAAGTGGACGTGGAAAAATTCAGCCCACAGGTGCTACACATTCCTCCCAGATTCCTCCCTATTTTCACCCCTCATACGTCAAGAGGCTGGGGACCCCTGGCTGGAACGGGGCACCTACAGAAACAATGAGC